GCCACAGTTCTTATAGATGTTTCTCGGAATAATAGATAGAATCAGAGAAACATCTATAAGAACTGTGGCCTCTGGGAGTGGACCAGGAATTCCCCTCCGTCTTCTTACCTCTACCTCTTTCTCAACGTTGGCCTCACAGTCTCCTATCACAGAAAAGTATTCTTCATGAAGTGGGCGATGTAGCCAATGACAGGCACCGTTGTAAGCCCAGAAGAAGAGGAAAGCATCTCTCTCCCATGGCCAACACAGAAATCTCAAAGATGGATTCTAATGCCCCTATTTGGGTTTCATGCCTTCCATGAGCCCAATCACTGTTGCCAAGAAGGTGGAATGCTATTGGAATTGGATTGGCCAGTCCTGGATCATGAGCCCATTCCTATGGCAGGATGCAGGGGGGTGAGGAGGGCAGCATGATCTGTTTCTATAATACGGAGGATGGGAGTGCTTGGTTTCTTGAAAAAACAATTATTGCCCCAGTCTTCCATGGGTGGCAGCAATATAATTAATCTAACAGCCACCTTTCTATTATAATATTATTTTACTGCCTTTATATTATAAGATTGCTTTAGATAATGAAGAAAAGCATCATCATCTTCATAGAGAGTGCTGTATAGGCATAAAATTTATTATACTACTTCACAGTTGAGCAAAATACATGATAGCTTAGATGATTGCAAATGTGACAATAAATGCCAAGGAGTAAGTCAGCTTAGTAAAACTTGCTCACTTGCTCTCAATTGAAAAAACATAAATTGCAAAGAAGCACATTTTTGTCATCATACAGAAGGTTGAAAAAACTCCTGGTCAGAACCCAAAGTGCAAATCATGACCCAGCTGCTCAAACCCAAGTTGCTATGAGCCATCATCAGGGGAATAAAGTACATCCATAGTCATATTTTCCCCAGTTTGAAAGTTCCCTAACAAAACAGTGATTGGGAGGGGCTCTTAAAAGATTCCACCCACTCCTACAGAGGAAAGAGGCATGACAACAGCCTGTGGGGGAGAATGGAGGTTGATGGAAAAGCAAGAATGGGGCTTGATCATGGAAAAGTAAGAAGGTAGCATCCCTCTGACAGATTTAATTGAGAAAGTTCAAGTATGTGATGTTTCCCTTCTAGCTTGGAGAAATGTAGGCATGCGTATAAGAGGGTGGGAGCCATGGAGGGAGGCTGGGGAGCACTGTACCGCTTAAATCACAGTTAGTCTCTCTGTATTAGTGCATAGTATCTCACTCCAGGGAAATGAGAAGTCAACATAATCATAAGCACTTAAGCTTGCAGTGTTTTATAATTTCAGCAGAGATAGTTAGTATTTAAATGTCACACCTCTAATGTAAACACACTATTAGCATGACAATGATGCTACAATGCTAGATTATGAGTATTTCCCAATTCTCTTCTAGCAAAACATGAAACAGACCTAGGTTTCAAATATGCATAAATAATTTACTACGTACCAGGTAGTATTGTAGGCACTAGGGATATACCAGACACTAAAGCAGCAAAAGAAAACCTGGCCTCATAGAGCTTATATTCTAGTTAGGGGCGAGAAATAGACAATAAATGAATAAATAAACTATATACTATTGAGATGGTGAGAAGTGCTAGAGAGAAAAATTAGTCAAAGAAGGGGGATGATGGAAGCTGTAATGTGTACAGGATCTGCCCCAGTATCATCCTCGGCTGCAGATTTTTGAGATGATAGCCACAGCAAGTCTCTTATTGCTAGTAAAGACCATTTCTCATCAGTGCAGGAAAGGGGACAGTTAAAGAAAGGGAGGGAAAGAGGGCATTGGTGGTTCAGTAGTAGAATTCTTGCCTTCCTGTGGGAGGCCTGGGTTCAATTCCCAGATAATGCACTTCATGAACAGCCATCACTCATCTGTCTCATGTGTTTCTGTGATGCTGGACAGGCATCAGCAGAACTTCCAGAATAAAACAGACTAGGAAGAAAGGCCTGGAGATCTCCTTTGAAAAATTACCCAGTGAAAACCCTATGGATCACAACAGTCTGATCCATAACTGATCACGGGAATGACATAAGACTTGGCAGGGTTTTGCTCCACTATGAGTTAAGGGTCAAGTCAACAGCAGCTAAAAACAAGGGGAAAGAAAGAGAAAGCCTGGGTGAACACAAGGGACTCAGCCTTGGGTCACAGTTTTGCCATATCTGGCCCACTTTCTACCTCAGTGTAGATTTCTGTGCCCCAACCTAGAAAACGGTGCTAATAAAACCTGCCTCCCATCTAGCTCATGGTATGTTGTATTGATGGGTGCCACAGCTGACCCAAATATACATGTATCTTCACTTTGAATATTAAAAAGTTTACATTTTGGTCTTTATGCTTCCTTCATCACATATTGATTGAGTATCTACTATGTGCCAAACTCTATTCTAGGCCCTGGAGACACAACAGTGAGCAAGACACACAGTGTCTGTCCTTGTGGAACTTACATTCTAATGGAGGAGATTAAAGTTCAACACCAGGTTGAATAGGGGGCATACTGACAAGAAGGAGACAAAATACCACTGCATAGTTCACGCATGAGATAATCAAGTCCTGAACTTAGATGGTTTTTAGACAAACTGAACTGAATCCCTGTGGTCACTTACGAAGCCCTTTCTATAAGGATGTCATGGTAATAAATTTATATTAAAATCTAATTGTGGCTGTTGAGCCCATCTAAAACATTGAAAGAGCAGCTTCCTTTCTCTGACCCACAGCCTGTTGTATGGACAAATATATACACACCCTTCTACCTCCTAAGGGTTTCTATTTTTGTGGACTACAAAAGTGTTATTCAAAGTTGTATAAATGAGCATGTGTTTTGATTTCCAGAGTCTTCAGCAACTTAATATAGCATCACTGTTTTGTTTTAAAAAAAAAAGTGGTAGTAAAAATCCTAACAGTAGTAAAAACATAACAACAGTAAAATATCCTTCTCAAATAGACAGTGAAGCAAGAGAACTCACAGGATTTCTGTTGAGTGTGTCATTTCCATAAGGAGAGAAAGCAGAGGACTAAAAAACACACATTTGGAGAAGAATCCACCCACACCTTTTATGTTCAAAGCACCAGCTGCTGAGTAGATACAAGGGACTAGAAAATGAAAATGTGGATACATCACACTGTAACACCTTAGGGAGAGAAGCCTAACAGATAAGAAACAGAAAAAGCTACAAGACAGGGTATTGTAAGTGCTAAATGCTTTTTGGCACAAGTTCCCACCTCAGCCTAGTGGATTTGGCCAAACACTTGTCTGTAGTCAGAGTAGCTGGGGAAGTCAGGAAGAATTGTAAAGCAGCCCAAGAGAAGCAGTTCTTGACTATGTAAACATTAATCCTTCTTAGGGGGATGGGAAGGAACCAGCAGTATAACTTACACATTGCATGCCTCAGACCCAGACTTTGAGAATGTAATAAACTTTCTACATGCACGCCGGCGTGATCCAATGCAATATTCTCTACATAGACCATAAGATTGTTGTAAACACAACTCTGAAGCAGCTTCTGCGTTGTTGTTGTTGTTGTTGTTATGTGCCCTTGAGTCCTACCCCACTCACAGCGACCCCTCCTTGGGTTTCCCAGGCAGTATCACTATGGAAGTAGATTGCCCCATCTTCCTTCCAAGGAGTGGCTGGTGGGTGCATGCACCTAAATCATCAGGGAACCTTTCCAGCCAGAAAGACAAGATTTCCAAATAAGTTTATAGCCTCTTACTTGTGGTGGCCAGTCAATTCAAACATCAAATTAAGTGGCATGGTTTCCCATTTTAATCAATGGCAATGAAGCTTACTGGGATTGTTGACATGAGGGCTTTTATAAAGCATATTTCAAGGAAGGACTCCTTGAAAAGAAACACAACAAAAACACTCTCATACAGCTTACTCTTAGAAATTTTAAATATCTTGGTTGGGATGTGGTCTCCCCTAAGATAAAACCAACATAGGTCAGTTCCTTTTCAATTTGTTTTGTGTACATGTGTGTGTGTGTGTGTGTGCTTTCAAAAACAATAACTGCAGCAAAACAAACTGGTGGGGAACTTCTTTTCCCATCACTGCCCTTGGTAGCAACAGAAATGTCTGGAGAATATACTTGGAGATAAACTTTTTTTTTTTTTTTCAAATTGCACTAGATATCTGATGCCAAGTATCTAATGGAATGAGTATCTTGGAGTTATAGAAGGTGTCTCTGGGATCTGTGTGGTCAATTGAGGTACAAATTGTAAATGTACAGCTGTCACTACAGCTTTCCGATTGGGGAATTTATAAAATCTTATCACAGAAAATATCATGTATTTTCAGACCACTTCTCCTCCATACCTAAAACCAGACAGAACCCCCAAGGAAGCAACTGAAACAGAGATCTCTGTAAATCAGTCCAACTAGAATTCTGAGCATTGTATTAAATGTCTTATCTCACTGTTCAGGTACTTCGAGGAAGCCACATTTATTGCCTCTGCTCCCCGCTTTCCTCATAATAGCCCTCCTTCCAGTAAGTATCCTAAGAAAATATGAGAAATTGTACTGGGCTGGGGAGAGGGAGGAGAGAAAAGAACTTAGTAGTAGTCAGAATGCACATTGTATTTGAACCAAGGTTAAGTTGTTAGACCACCTGCCAAGATGTTTGCTAGCAGTAAGCAATTTGCAGAGAAAATCTCTTCCTTTTATTAAAAATCCCTAACAACAACAACAACAAACAGGATTCCCAAATTTTCCTCTAGCGGCAAAACGACCTCTGTGCCTACTTCTACAACCACTTCATCAACTGACATCTCCCCTTCCCCAAAACAACTATGACTTGAAAAAATAAGGCATCTTGAGCCACTCAGAAAGACAGCCATCTCTGTTGAAAAGTAGCAGTGAATGTAATTAACTGAGAAGCAGTTGTGGAACTTCTAGGGCAGTATTTAAAGGGCCATGCAGTTGTGACTGGGTCTTCGTAGTAAAATAATGATGGCAGAGGGGAATGGGGCAAAAGAAAGAAATCAATTTACTTACAGTCCTCGAAGCCGCAGCCAGATTTTCTCGATCTGTTCCGGTTGCAGGTATTTCAGAGAGTTGCTCTCAAATTCTTCAATCTCCTTGGTTGGTGACTCCATAGCTGCAGGTTATCACTGGAGATGAGGCTCAGAGAGTTTGGGCTGTGTCCTCCCCGCCTGCTGCCCGTTCAGCCCGCGATCCCCAGGCGGGCGCGGCACGCCTTTGCCTGGCACCCTCTTTGTGCTCTCTCCCTTCTGTGCTGCCAAGCCCAGACTTAGAGCGGGTTCGGATAGTGGGCGACTCAGACTCCAGATGCGCCCTGGGGGCAGCTACGGGCACCAGCCATGGTTCCAGACTAATGCCCAGGTATAGAGCTTGTGCTCCTGCCCAAGGCGAAGGCACCTTGGACCTATTCTGATTCTTTTATGGCAGAGTCAAGAAAATGAACAGAGTGTACGCTGAAGGACTCTGGGGAGAAAGGGAAGTCTGGGTGGGGAGGAGAGGAAGCGAGCAGGGTGAAAGTGAGAAGGGGAAAGGAGAGAGAAGAAAAGCCCAGAAGGTACCATGCGCGGGGAAAGTGGTCTGTACTGAGGCCACGCACCCGGGGCCGTGCCGCGCTCCGCCCCGCGCCCTGCGCCCCTCGTTCTCCAGCGCCCCGCGGTTCCCCCGGTTCCCCTCTCCCCCTGCCTCGCTGCCGGCGCGCGCCCTCTGTTTTCTTTCACTTACCAGCAGCTCTGCTGACAAGCGAGAAAACTGACAACTGAGAGAAAAGTCGTCTGTCAGCGCCCGGGACTGGAGTCTGGTCTCGCACCCGCGAGCGCGAAGGGAGGGAGGGCGCGGAGCCCCGCCGTCCGCCAGGCACAGGCTCCCGGCGTTCAAACCCGCAGACCCAGCCACTCTCTCCTGCGAGGCAGTCTGCGGCTTTGGGGCTGCGACCACGCAGGGCCCCCAGCGGAGTGCTTCAGTGATTCCTGAAGCTCACACCAAATGGATAACTCTGGTGCGACGCGCAAAAATCCGAGGGAAAGGAACTCTGTATCCTCCTCGAGGGCTGGTAGGGCAAACGCCAGGGGAGGGGTTCCGTGGAGTTTCTGCTTGGAGCTTTTATTTACAGCGCTCACTTACATGCCGGTGAGGGCCGGGTCCATTTTGAAATATTAAAGCAATTGACAGGAACTAAAATTGTCACACATCACACTTAAAAGAGTCCTGGAATTTTCTTGCTAATGGGAGTTTTTGTTTCTCTCACCCTCCACACACACACACACACACACAGACAGACACACACTGGTGCAAAAAAAAAAAAAAAAAGAAGAAGAAGAAGACGAGAAACAAACTGCGAGAAAGTAGGAGTTCCCGCTGATTAATGCCACTTACTCCTCCAGGGATCCCTGTTGGGTGAGTTCTTAGAGGGTGATGGCTGGAGAGTAGATACTGAGACTAGTGAAGAGTTTCAACTTCACAAAGAAAGCTACAGCTCACTGTCAGTGTTCCACTAGGGTCATTGACCATGTCAATAAAGTAAAATGTTCTGGAAGAGTGGGACCAGGCGTGCAGGAGAGGGAGACTTAGGATAAGGACCAAACACAGGGAAAGAAAAAATAAACAAATAAATCAGAGCACAAGTAGATTGCTGCCTTGGCATCACACAGCTGATGGGTCAAACTCCCTTTTAGATAAACCCCCCACCACTTCCCCCAGGCCATTTCAAACCTTACACTCAGGGTTCCTGAAATTCAGATTGCATCATGCCCTATACCAGTATTTTTCCTCAAGGGCAGGTAATACTTCTTAAGTTACATGCCAATATTCCTTTTCTATCCATCAGATAACTGCCTGCTTCTCAAAAGTAAGATGAACTTAAAGATGAGGACTAGTTTTTCTTCATTGCTCAAGTAAAGGTCCATTCATTTGACCTTGACAAAGTAATGAAATAATGGTGTCTGCATCCTACATGTTCACCCATTGGGCATTCACTTACCAGAAATTGGCAGTGAGAGAGCTAAGAATGGCATCACTGGCCCCATTCAGACTAGTGGGGAAGGTACCTGGCTCAAGGTGAAATGACAGACTATTTTACCCAAAAGAACTTACCCACTCACCTACCACAGAAGCTGAAATCACCTCATTAAAATCAGCCCTTAAATGTTTTCTGGAAGAATGTACTGAGTTAAGGAATTGTTGAACCTGGGTAGTGAAAGCAGTTTGCAATCAGCTGCTAACCTAAAGGTTGGCAGTTCAAACTCACCCAGCAACTCCACAGAAGGCAGGCCTGGTGTTCTGCTTCTGTAAATGTTAAACCCACTGCCATCTAGTTGATTCTGACTCATTGCAACCTCCATTCCTCCATTGTGTTTCCGAGGCAATAAATCTTTATGGAAGTAGACTGCCCTGTCTTCCTTCCATGGAGTGGCTGGTGGGTTTGAACCACGAACCTTCTGGTTAGCAGTCAAATGCCTTAGGCATTGTGCCACCAGAGCTCCTTTCTACAAATATTACAGCCGAGAATATCTTACATAGCAGTTCTACTCTGTAAGCACATGGGTCACCATGAGTCCAGGGCCAACTTCACAGCATCTAACAAGAAGTCATTATTACCAGTCGAGTTAACATTAAGCAGCCAGTATAGAAACACGGAACTCATTTATCAGAATAAAACCAATTACTCACCCAATGTGACCCAACAGTTAGTAATGACCTGGGGGAATGGGATATCAGAGGAAGAAAGTATTTTAGCTACTTGTTTTGGGATGGAAGACAGAAGCATGGTCTCCATAACTAGGTTCTGGTTTGTACCTTAGGCAGACTGCTGTCAGAATCCAGAAGTGTAGTAATGATGATAACAATAATAACAGCAATCATGTATGGCAGTTCAAACCTACCAGCCACTCCTTGGAAGGAAGACTGGGCAATCTACTTCCGTAAAGATACCGCCTCGGAAACCCAAGGAGGGTTTGCTATGAGTCAGGATCGACTTGCCGGCAGTGAGTTATTGGAAACTTTCTGTGATCCAACCACTGTTCTGAGAGTTCTAAGTTCAGGTAATACAACTCCATGAGGCACATTATATTATTATCAACCCCATTTTACAATAAAGAAAACTGAGGCAATAAGAGGTTGCTACATAGACCTATCAGAAAAAGAATTGAACTAGAGAAGACTGGAATTTGAATTATGTCTCATTAGATAAATTTGTCACATGGTCACATATTGCACAGCGACAAAGTAAAGCATTTAGGCAAAATGATTTCTTATATCCCTTCCACTTTCATGATTCTATAAGGGCATTTGGAGAGAGTTGGGGAAAGGAATTGCTGAAAATAGAGATGAATATTGCTGAACACATATTTTAACTACATCATAGTCTCTTCAAGGCTGGCCTGGCATGAAAGAATAGAATGAAAAAGGGTGAAGGATAAAGGATGAAATTCATCTTCCTGCCTCACATCATGCCTCCAACTTTGTCCCAGTGTTAGCAAGATTTTGATTAAGTCAAAGGAAAGCAAATTTTGGATAACAAAGAAAAGAACAGCCTTCTTCTGCAACTAAGCAAATCCTTATGGTCAGAGAGAGAGAACAAAAAAAATTCTTTAAAACAGCTCTGAAAGAGAAAAGAAGAATGAAGAAAACCAAAATTCATGGAAACAATTAGTCATAGCAACTGGTACACCATCCGATCTGCAGCCTGTACAACTATGAGACCAGAAGAACTAGATGGTGCCCGGCTACCACTGTCATCCACGTGGAAGGGGATCTATGTAGGAGATCCTTGATAGAGAGGGAGAACAATGTGGAACAAAACTCAAAATCATTTGGAGAAAAAAAAAAAAGGTGGGGAC